CTATATAAACATTTTTCAAGTATTGAGATACACATTTTTAAATGAAAAAGTCAAAAAATTGTGTGAGAAGGAACCACAGAACTTCTCTATTTTTGAAAGATTGCAAAATACTTCATTCAGTTTCGCTAAAGTTTTCTTGAAAAATAACTTTGAATGGTTAAAATTCATGAAAATGTTAAGAAATGATAACAGCTATTTAATAAAAACTTTACGTTAAAAAGTTTATTATTCCAAAAAAATAAAAAAATTAAATATGATGAGCATGGAGCACGTGATTTCGGGAATTGAATAATTAAATATCGGGAAGTGAATTTACTCATAATTCATATATTTTCGGTTGATGCATGAGAAATGTTCTCTTTGTTGCAAGGTGTGTTTGGATCCATTTGGGGAGCATGTAGTACATTGTAGAGAGCTACCGAGGTTTAAGTGTCGCCATGATTTGGTTAGAGACGTTCTCTTTGACATATTCTGGCGTACTGGGATTTCTGTTAAGAAAGAAGCACCAAAATTTCTTGACTGCCCTATTGGAATGAAGATCAATACTTTAGACAAGTTGATATTTTGGTCTTTGGATGGATAAACACGAAACATGCTTGTGTGAATTTAACATGAGTTTTTCCTCTTGTAGGCTTGGAGACTGGTGTTTTCACGGTGGGCCACACTGCGCTGAAAATTGTTTCATACATAGTGACCAAACACGAGAGAGCATGCCTCGACAACTAACATGTGTTTATACCATTTGCAGTTGACACCATTGATTTTCTCGCCCAATGTAGTTTTCAAAAGACATAGTTTTGCTATTAAAAAGGGGCTAGTGGCGTAGCTTGTTGCACGCTTTCCTTTTATTTTGATGTGAAAAATATATATTAAAAACACATAAAACTTGTAGTATTAATGAACAGAACAGATCAAAGTAAAAATATAATAATAAGATAAGAAATGATTTTAAATAAACGTAGCGTCAATATTTTAAATATAAATAATTTTTAATGATATTGATTAATTTTGAATTTTTTTAAAATTAACTATGCTTTCTCAAATAGGCCGAATATAATGGCAGAAAATTACATACGAGTGACACGAGTTTTGTAGAAATAACTCTCAGGCCCCTCTATTTTCAAAAAGACAACAGAGATCCATACATTTTATTGTAATGACTTAGAGGGGACATTTCATCCAATACTTTATTCACAACATTAATAAATGTATTTTTCCCCATTTTACCATTACTCAGTTTTTTGTTTTTTAGAAAATTTTTTATTTCATTTATTTTTATATCATACATTTTTGAATTTTTATACAATTTTATAGATAAATTCTAAAAAAAAACTTTAAAAAAGAGTAAAAAAAGAAAAATAAAAAAATAAAAAAAAACCTAAGAATTATTATCATAAAACATTAAGTAAAAAATAGAAAAGAATATTTTTATTAACATTAATGGATGAAATGTTGGATGGTGTATTCCTTCCCAGTCATTATAACAAAATGAAATATTGGATGGAATATCCTTTCCCAGTCATTACAACAAAATATTTGATGGAATATCCCTTAGTTACTACTAGACCTGGCAAAAAGTGACCTGACCTGTTTTTGACCCGAAAGCAGACCTGAAAACACTAGGTTTTGAACAAAGGTTTTGATGACTGAACCCGAAATGACCCGCTAAAAATGGGTCAAACCCGACCAAACCCGAACCCGATATGATCGACCCGCTAAAGTAAGATTTTTTCAAAATTATACACTTTTTTACTTGTTTTTAGTGTATAAATTTATATTTTCAAACAAAATTTTAATGATATTACATAATTATCTTACTTTTTTCCAAAACTTAAGCATTTTTAAATTACTTATATTGATTTATATATCTAAAAACTACTTTAGAGTGTAAAATAAAATAATTTTGTAGATTAATTTTTTTTTGATATTTTAAATTTATTTAATAGAAAATGTAAGTGTTAATGTGAATTTAAAAATTTAAAAAACCAAAGTCATAACCCGTTGGGTCGACCCGATCTCGATGACACTGGGTCATGAACATACAGTTCTCAATCCAAACCCGAATTGACCCGAACCCAAAATAACCCAAACTTTAAATGACCAAACCCGACCTGACCGACCGATTTGTCCGCTCTAATCATTACAACAAAATGCATTAGCTATTTTCTATATATATGTGTACACCCGACTCCAATTGCCCATGCATCTCCGGGGAGCTGCAATCTCCTGCATTGTTTTACGTGAGCACAGCTTACGCACAAGGGAGAGAAAGAGAGAGAGAGATTTTGAATAAAATGCTATATAGCCATTTCAATTCCGTTGCCGCACAGGAGAGATAGAGCGAGTGATTTGAGAGCGAGAGGGTTTCCGGCCGTCTTTACGCTGGGAAAGGGAAAGTTGCAGAAGGGTTTGAGCTATTTCGATCGGGGGAGAAATCGAACGATTTTGATCGACAGGGGTCTCTTCCCCATTTGATTTCTCTAAACCCTTCACTCGCCACTCCCAAATTTCCTCCTTCCTCTCCCATTGGACACAGAATATAGAGCAAAAACCCTTTTTCCCCCGCCCTGTATATTCATGCAACAAGCAATACATTATAGGTGTGGCGTAGGATATGGATTGATAGGGAGAAGAATCCATGATTTTAAAGGCGTTGAGGATTTGAAGGAATTTCCATAGAGAGGATCTTGATTTCTCTTGGAGTTGAAGAAATGGTAATGTGATTTATTTACATTTCAAGTCATGTTTATAAGTTCAGTGCAGCAATGCATTGGAGAGGTCTAATGGATACAATTTTCTCTTGTTTTTACTGGGATAAAATAATTTCCATGCATCAAACTGTGATTTCTGCAGGGACAAGACAAGATAACTAAAAAAAGGAAAATCTCATAATATCTGACTTAACAATGACAAGATTTCGTAGAGATAGGAAAAAAAGGAGTACTGTTTATTTTTCTAGTAGAATCCCCCCACAATTGCAAGTCTGAGCAAAGATACTCTGGGAAATGTTCCATCCTCTTGAGGTTTAAAAGAGCATGGCTCTGTTGAAAGATTTGTTTTTAATAATAATGAAGTTTTCATAAGTAATTACTTTTAGACGAGGATTAATGGTAATCATGACTTAGATGTTCCATGAAATTTTCATAAATCATTACTAGATTTTAGTCGAGGATTGATAGGTGTTCCATGAAGTTTTCATAAATCATGACTTAGATGTTCCATTCTTCTTCTTCTTCTTATTCTCCTTCCTCCGTGATTCATAGTTTTATTGCGTGGATAGGTGTATCTTTATACATTTTTTAAAAACAAATATGATTGGTGTGGTTAGTGTATAGTGTAATTTTCAACACCTATTTTTCTGTTTGGATTTTCATGCTAGTAATTTTAACCATTTCTTGCAGAGTGTTTCCAGTGTAGTTGTTGGAACACATGTTTGGGTTGAGGATCCTGAGGTAGCTTGGATAGATGGAGAGGTTGTTGAAATCAATGGTGGAGATATTACAGTCAACTGTACATCAGCGGCAATTGTATGTTATTGCTTCATTTTCTCTTTGTCATTATCATCATCATCACTATTAGTTAACTAGTGACTTAACCTTTTAAGAAAATAACTTTAGAGTATGATGCTTTAGTATAATTTAAAACTGTTTATCTTGGAGAAACCTTTTCATCTTTTTGTTCTATAGTCCCCTATTCTAAGGTTCTGGAATTGGTACGTTCCAGAAATGTTCCTACTTATTCACAACTTTATTCCAAACTTACTTCCTACACACCCCTTTGAGCCAGAGCATACAAGTTATATGCACTAACCTTGTTACATAGCTAGTAGCAAGTACATGAAGATCGTTCCAAACCATAAAAAGGATGACATAATTTAAACTGGCATTCTTGATATCCACTTCGAACAATGATGAGCAACTCATGGCAGCCATATATAAAACCAGGATTGAGGATAAATCCGAGTTTTATATTTCTCTTAATCTGAATGAAAGAAGAATCAAGTACTAATAATACCAAAGTATTCTTTGAAGTCTTCCTGATGACATCAAGTGTGGCGTCAAAGAATAATGTCAAGTTTCTTGAATTCCTACTTGACAAAAACATTTGTACTCTATTTACAACTATATTCCACTTTTACTTGCCAAGGAGGCCTAATTATGCATCGTCTGTTTGCTCGACAATTTCTTTATTTTGTTTTTTTGAAAGAAAAAGTGCATTTATAGGCTCATAGCAAATGGTGGAAATCAAGGTACAGAAATTGAGTACTGAAAGACATAAGCCAGTTTGGCCAATTGCTCCGTGTATGACAACAAAGAGATGACTTTTCCATCAAATCAAATTTAAAAATATCATGAGCTACTACATTTGTTTTTTCTCACATATGTAGACATCTGTAGTATCATCACATAAACTTTTACAATCTTAAACCAA